TCCTTTTTCCCGTTATAAACGTTTTTTCTTATTTTGTTTTCCGTTGGGTGTTTATTACCCCGTTTAATATGTAAATTTCACACAACCCCCCCCCCCCCCCCCCACCAAATTTTCGATAGTCGGACCAGCCATAAACTAGGTGATTGCTTTTCTGTTAAGAGAATAGCTCGAATAAAACAACTTGTGTTTTCTTTATTGATTAGATATGAAATGAATTAGAATAAAAACATCCAAGTTTCGTTCTTTTTTTAAGACTTATAATTAACAAAAGAAGAAAAACAAAGTTGTATAAGTTTATTTTATCTGTGTGTAAAAGATTATAAGGATTGAAATCAAAAGAGAAACTGAAGTTTTAACTTAACATAAGAAATATGAAAAATTCTTTTTTGATGACTATATGCATAGCGTGTTCAGGAATTCGTTTAAACAAAAAGAATCTTGAATGTTTTCGTCACTCTTGAACTAAATTAGTTGATTTTTTTCTAAGGATAGAGAACAGATGTAAGCTTGTATTCGTGAAAGGATCAAACTAGATCTTTTTTCTTCATTGTATCACTAGCAGAGACTGATGGCACAATCCCAGATCGAGAAGTACAGGCCGGATCCCGCAGGAAAACACCGAAAATCGACAGCACATGGAAGCAGTATTCCGGTGAACGGATCCGGTGACCGGATTTATTCGGTTCCGCCCGAAACCGACAGAAACCTGGCAAAACCGGCAGCCGGATACTGTCACCGGAAATTCACGGAATACTGCTTCAGAAATCATCGACCTTGGATGAGAAACTGTCCCGTCAAGGTCCGCCTGGAGTTGTCCACAGACTGTCTCCCGTCCCGTCTCGCCTAGAAATTTTCAATCCCGTTCCGCGTCTTGTCAAGATTTTTCGGTCCCATTCCAGCTAATCCCGTGAGCATCTTTTCACCAAAAACTCAATGTCATACATATATGTTGATTAATTTCGCAACAGAAAAGTATCGTCGAGCAAAAAATGTCTACATAAGGAAATGAAGTACAATAAATGTACACACACATATTCACAAGAAGCTGGGATATAAGAATAGAAATCATAATAGTCAAGAATAGTTACAAATTTAGATTGATTGCAACGATGTACAAATACGAATTGAAAAAAATAATTTTCAAGATTAACAAATATGGTAAAATGAGACAGAATGAACAATTATACGCATACATAATTATACGTATACATTGCATTTTCTATGCCACACGAATATTATTATGGTCATTGTCTCATCTGTCAGTCATCGCTCATCTAATTACTAACGAATTGACTATTACTATTGTTCTTTTTCCCATGCAACGTCTGTTTACATAAGAGTCGCCCGCTATGACGATCATTCTTCTACTCTTGCGACATAAAATCAATCTCTATTATAATGCACTACATGGACGGTTATTTTTACTTTTTGTTTCATTAACGAGAGTAAACGGGAGAAGCATTGAATCTCACTTATTCCGCATACCGCGACTTTTTGTCCCGCGTCCTGTCCCGTCCCGTCCTACTTTTTTTTTGCTCTCCCATTCCGTTCCGAGATGGAAGGAGATTGATCCCGTGTCCCGTCGATCTCTGATCATTACTAAACTTTGATTAAAATCTAAGCCATTCGTTTGAGCAACAAATTTTGGTCTATTGTTCAGCTAAATAATGAAGAAAAGTTTGCTAGTTCTATGTATATGAACGAAATTTTTCTTCATGAATAAAGATTTAATCTGTCTTCTACTCTAAGAGAACTCCCTATATCGATAGATTGATTGATTGATTGAAGCAAAACATGAAATAAATAGAATAATGATTTCTCAACTTAAAGAAAGAAAAGATCTTAATGAAACAAAAAAAGAAAGATGCAATCTCATCGAACCATTTCCAAATTTAATCGACTAATCCAATAGATGATTGTTTATTTTTAATATTAAACAAGAATGAATGTTCTATAATATAGAATTCCAAGGAATTAGAACAACTATAGAAAATTAACGTGGAATTTATTTCATTAGATTAATTCTTATAGAATAGAAAATGATTTTCTTGCTTCTCATCTATTCGAAGTAGAACTAAACCAAGTAGAGTAAGAACAAGTAAAAGTATTTTATTTGTATATTTACGTATATTTTTTCTTTAAATATCAATACAGTATAGAATAGTTTTTTCTTTTGAAATGTCGATGAATTCAATTTAAGATATATTCACTATCATAGATACATTTAATTCTTGATGGTATTCAGAAGAATCAAAATGAATTAATATCGATATCGAAGAATTTGAGAGAGATTCTTACTTCAATGTATTTTCGAGAAATTGATTTGAATTTTTCAATAATTAATAGAAGAATTCTCATATAAATTAATAATGAAACATTTCTAGTGAATACGCTTATGAAACTTAAAAGCAATTCATTGGATGTATTTTGATATTAGATAACAATTAAGAAAATTGAATAGGTTGAGAATTAGAATTCAGTTGAAAAAAGAGAAATTAGCTAGTAGTTTGAAAGTTATTTAATCTATTCAACGGTTAACTATTTTGATATTGAGCACTTTGAATTCCTGATAGAATATGCTGGAGAAATGAAAGAAAAAAACTTTATATAAGAGAGTGTTTCAATTTGAAAAATAATAAGAAGTCGGCAAATCATTTGAATTTTTATTTAGTTCATACAAGTATTAAGGAAATGGTGAAACTACTTTTAAATGAATAAGGATTCATATTTCACCTAATTGCCTAATGACAGTAATGAAATCTTCAGAAGAGAAAATTCTTCATGTTTTAAGTGTAGTTGCTAAACTAAGAGTCGAAAGAACTCTAATTTATAGATCAATTAAAAAGAAATTTAAATTTAAATTTTCGTCAAAAAGCTTCATTAGAATATTCTTAGACCGTCGTTAAGATTTGGAACATATCGGTTACCTTAGATGTGCAAATAAATGCGAAATTTTCGAAGAAACATTAGGCTATTAAACATGATAAAAAAAGACATTGTTTCAAAGTAGAAGTAATAGTAGGTAATTGAAAGTTTTTCTATTTTATCCTAAATAGAAAAGTACTTGTTTTCAAATCAAAGCACAAGTATCAGATAGTTTTTCCAAATTACAAAGTATAACCATGAAGTACATTTGATCAACATTTAGTATTTGTACTTTTACTTGGAAAAGTATGAAAAGCTCAGTTACAGATACTCGTACGAATTCTAATTCGAACAAGTGAAATGTTCATGTTCTCATGTTTGATGATTCAGAATGATTTTCAATAGTCTTTTCACTATGAATAAAGTCGAAAAAAATTGACTTTTGTTAATTATAATCTTCATGGTTATCGAGAGTGAATAGGAATTCAATGATACACAAGCATATTTACAACGACATTCAATATGAAAATTGTTTAGTTGATTTCTTTTTCATACAAAATGCTGAAATTACAAAAAATAAAATCTTGAAATAGACTGAACAAAAGAATTTACAAATCCAAAATAGAAAAATTCTTAAATGTTGGGTATTAACAGGCCGATGTCGTCAAGCAGAAATATGCTGAAAATGACTTGAATTTTTTTTTCTCAATAAAAGTATGAAGTTTTTGTTGTACAAGAAGATTTTTCTGCAAGTTTACTTTTTCTAAAATCGATCATTAAGGTTATTCTCATAGAATTTCTTATTCAACTTAATTACATTCTTGATTGTTAAATGTCATTATTCATCAATAAGGATTTAGATCAAATTTTATAACTCATATCTGATGATAGATCATATTGTTTATTTGTATTTCAAAATATTTTATAGAATACTATCCATTAATTAAGATATAAATTAAAATTCTTGTCACTAAAATATTTATACTTAGACATTTAGCTTAGAAATTATATTTATTACTGTAGTTTTCGTATTAATCAAAGATTGTCATTAAGTACTTTTCGATGTGATTAGAAATTAGTTTAGATGAAAAAGTGAATAAACATAATAAATGATTTAAGTCAAGTTTTTATTTGTAAAATCAATTCTACTTGCACTTGTATCTGATCGAGTATCAATTTGCAGTTAGAAGAATTTCACATCGAACATTTTTATGCCACCATCAGTCAAATAATTTACCTTTTTCATACTTTGTTTATGTTTGTTTTCAGGTAAATTTTTATTATTTAAAAACGTATTGAAACCTTTGGAATCATTAACAATAATTCAGTCGAAACAATTTATTGATATAGTCGAATATTTATACAATTGTTGTGTTATTCATCGTGATTTATGTCCAGAAAATTTGATGCTTGATTATAATCAACAACATTTAAAATTAATTGATTTTGGTTCTGCTATAACTTATCAAATCGATGAATTACCAAGAAGACGGTGGATCGAAGGAACAATTTCATATGCTGGTTTTCAATTTTTAAATTCATATCATTGGTTATCATTAATGACAGGAATTCATAACTGTTGTGATTATGAAAGAACCTTTGATCTACATTGTGCAATAAATATCATTTTGTGTACGACAGATGATAGCATCCAAGAAAGAATTATTTCAATTGAAAATACATCGTCTTTTGAAGAAAAAGTAACAACATTACTTAAATTGTGGAAAGATATAGAGCAGAGCAATAAGCAATATTCTAAATTATTAGAATTGGTGAACAACATGACAGAACCATTACAATTTGATGTTATCAAAGATGAAATAGAAAAGCTTTTCTAATATATAACAATCAAAATGACCTTTATTATCATGTGTACGTTCATGTTATTGATTAAAACTGATAGATACTTGTTACTTGATGTTTATTCTTCTTTTTTTCTTATTCTTTTTGTTTGTTTGTTCTTGTTGCACTTTATTTTCACAGAAATAGAATAAATCTTATTAATAGATAAGGGAAAAAAGGTGATTTATTCCATTGATTAATCTATTTGTTATTTCAAATAGTTTTGAATGAAGAAATCATGATGATTAATTTGTCTATTGATAAGATGTTCTCTTTTAAAGATTGCGATGCTCAGTATCAGTGTTGAGATAAAAGAGTCTTCTGATTGAGCCACTGATATTGCTGAAATAATCTGACTATGCTATTCAATATTCATATTCCCTAGCAGAGACCGTTATCAAACGAGGGCTGCCATGTCGTACTCTGCAGGGCGAAATTTTTCTAGCCCTGCCCTCAAGGTAAGACAGGGCAAAGTTGGGTGTGGGTGGGAGTGGGGATGTATGTGTGCTTCGGGTACGTGGGCAAATGCGTGCGCTGTTAAGAAAATTCGCATAATAATCAACGGAAAAAACGTTTTTGATACGGTATCAAACAAAAAAAGAGTTTATGAATTTGCAATGGGACACAACTCTCCTTTTTCCGTTTATGACGAAGATAATAAACGGTTTACTCGTTTATGATTTGGAAAAAGGTTTCATCAGATATTTTAAAAACAGAAAAAAGTGTTTGGTGTGGGTGCGGGTGTGGGTATGGGTGTGAATGTTAGTCTTTTCTCCATGCATACCCACACCCCACACCCCACATCCCACACACACCCACCCACACCCACAAAATTCTCTATCTTTTGANTTAAATATGTTGACAGAGCCCGGACCGAGAAATCTTGGAACGAAAATGAGCTATTTTTGACCCTGGTTTTGGTTCATATCTCTGTCAAACGTCGGGATATCGAGCTGAACATTTTACCACAGCCTCCCCACTTCAGCCCCAACATATGCTCCAAATTTCAGCCCATTTGAACGTTTCTGGGCTGAGATCGATTTTTGAGCGCAGGGGGGGGGGGGAGGCCTTAACAGAAGCTATTGGAATATTGATTAGCGAGTGATGCTGATTTCGAATATAACCATGAGAAATTTTCTAGACTAACAAATTTTTCGCTAAAAGTTTGTTGCAATCTGTCTAAGCACTGCTTCAAATAGTCTTTTTGTTGCAGAAAATACAACCATTTGAATTCATGGAACAGATACATATAAATGTGAAATATACTCTATAATCCTGACCAAGAAACGTTTCAAGGTGTTAAATCGCTTTTCGATCAATACGATGTTTATTTAATGAGTAATAGAAAAGTCTAGAATGATTTGATTTTGTGAGCTGTCGTCCTTGAGATACTGAAGTTTTACTGTTTTTTTACTTAAAAAGTTTTTTTTTTGTACACCGTGTGAAGTTGAACATCGATTTCTTGTGTGATCTGAGGGATATCACACTTACATCAGTAAAGTTTTGACATCTCAAGAACAAAGGTTCGAAAAACTAAGTCATTCTAGTAAATATCGCCTAGGTCGAAAAGCTATTTAACATCCAGAGAGCGTTACCTTGTTAGTAGATACAAAAAAATTCTATCGAAATGGTTGCTGGCCTAGAAAACCAATACATAGAGAACTAAGAAAATCTCTTATGATCATAATCAACATGTTCGATAACTCATAATGCTGTAGCTTTTGTTGAAAATACGATTCATTCCTTTGTCAATTCACGTTAGTTCTATATTGTCGATCGATCATTAGCGTCATCTATTAACAGTATTTCTTAAAAAGTAATTTGCTTACATCATAACCATTTTTTTTTGTTGGGTTCAAATACTCTTGGTGGTATATTTAATGTTCTCGACTCATAAATAGTTCACCTAATTATTCAAATACAAAATTAAATCCAATGAACTAATAAAAGCAAATTTTCTTTTTTTTTATTTTTTATTTTTAATAATCAATACATACAAAATGACAACACATAAACGTACATTTGCCTATATGATGAATCCGGTAGATAAATTTGATTAATCTAAACTATAAAAATGTTATTTTAATTTAATAGACTGTTGGCAAATATCATTATGGTCCTGGACATCCAATGAAACCTTATCGTGTTGAATTAACCAATTGTCTTGTTTTAGAATATAAAATGCATAAAAAAATGAATGTAAATTATTATAAAAATTATTCTCTTATTATTTTCTATGAAATTTTTTGTTGTAAAATAGATTTATTGTCCATCGGAAGCTAGTATTCATGATATGACACGTTTTCATTCAGAAGATTATGTTGATTTTCTTTCACGTGTTGCACCAAATAGTCAAGAATTTCAACGTTTTTATTCAATTTATAATTTAGGCGATGATTGTCCTGTATTTACAGGTCTTTTTGATTTTTGTAAACTTTACACAGGTGCTTCATTATTATCAGCAACGAAAATTAATCATAAGGTTTTGTACTTATTTTTCATTTTTAAATATTTATTCATTGTTTTAATAGCAAAGTGATGTTGCTATTAATTGGGCAGGCGGTCTTCATCATGCAAAAAAATTCGAAGTAAAAAAACAAAATTTGAAAATTTCTTTTGTTAAGTTTTTTGTTTTTTTTTAGGCATCAGGATTTTGTTACATTAATGATATTGTTATTTCTATTCTTGAATTACTCAAGTAAATATAAAGAATAAAGAAAAAAAAAGAATTTTTTTTGTAAATTTAGATATCACGAACGTGTACTTTATATTGATATTGATGTTCATCATGGTGATGGTGTACAAGAAGCATTTTATTTTACTGATCGTGTTATGACTGTATCATTTCATAAATATGGAAATAATTTTTTTCCCGGAACGGGTTTGTTATATTTTAAAAAAATAATAACATTCGAAATTAACAAAAAAAAATTTTTTTATAGGTAGTATGTATGAAATTGGAGCAGAAACTGGAAGATATTATTCTATTAATGTACCACTTCGTGAGGGTATTACAGATGATGGTTAGTAAATAAATATCTTTGTTTTTTTTTTGTTTAGAACAATTAAGTTTTATAATCGGAAAAAATTTTTCGAAGTAGAGTTTTTCATGTAAAGTAAAATAGGTAAGTTGGTTGAATTGAGTCAATTTTCTATGACCTGTATCGAACCAAGAATTGCTTATGCCTGCCGGCATAACTTAGAATAGCACTATTAAGAGTATATTTCTTGTATAAGAAAGAATTTCTAATGATGAAACTGCTGTTATTTACTAAAATATTATTAAAAAAAAAAGAAGTTATTATCATAGTGATCATAAGTTGAAATAATTAATGATGCTTAAAAACAGTCATCATACGAGATGAATTTCAATTGCTTATTGAACGGAAAGATTAGAATGTGATCGTGTCTATTGCAACTTCTTGAAGATGATGATTTATTAACAAAAGCTATCATGAGAAATATGCTATCTAATCAATTTCTACGAGTCAAATCAATTATTATTTTCTCGTAACGCAGTTAATATTTTGCTACTTCAATAAAACTCATGCAATTGATAGTGCATTCGACCTTGAGTGTAGATGAGAAATGTCATTGAACCGAATAAATACTGTTTATTAGCTAAATGAAACGTCTAAAATCGATATAAGAAATTTAGACAAAGAATTAGATTTCATACTGTTCGTGCCTTTTTATGATATGTAATACTAGTATAACAAAAATATCTCCGTTGGATTTAATAATATCGATTTCAGAATGTTGTTATAATATAATTAAGAGATTTCGATAAAAGATGAAATTTTGTTTTGTATAATCGTTTCGAACACTTTTATTTTTCAACTAGGAAAGAATTCATAACAGTCCAACTTTATTAGGTTATAATATATATCACTATCGCTTTATCTAAAAATATCCCCGAGCTATGTAGTATTGATAACAGTAGATAAATCGTTCATGCACGACGAAGTAAAAACAACGCAAATCTTTGCAGTAGTACGGACGTTTTACGTTCTATAACGACCCTATATAACATATTTTTATTCTATCCAAGCTATAACATTACGTAGTGTCACGTACATAATGAATAGATGTTCATGTTTTTTTTTCCTTTTCTAAATTTGAAATTACTTGTTCGAAAAAGAAAACGTTTGATTAAAATTAGGGGTGGGAAGTTACCGTTCTCAGGTAACTGGTAACGGAAAAGTTACCGCCGTTACCAGTTCCCGGGTAACTAGTAACGGTTTCGAAACCGTTTCCCATCCCCCAGCTCCTAACCCTAGGGGGTCCTCAAGTCCAATTTTGTATACCAAAAAATTTTTTTTTTCGAAAATTTTTTTTTAATGCAGAAAGCGACTTTTTGAGAAAAAATAAATTTTTTGGTATACAAAATTGGACTTGAGGACCCCCTAGGGTTAGGAGCTGGGAACGTAACGGGAACTTCCCACCCCTAATTAAAATATGATTTAATATTATTTTTCTTTTTAGACTATTATGAACTTGTTTTTAAACCTGTAATATCTACAGTTATGCAATATTATCGTCCAAAATGTATTGTTCTTCAATGTGGTGCTGATTCACTTGGTGGTGATCGACTTGGTTGTTTTAATTTATCAATAAAAGGCCATGGAAAATGTGTTTCATTTGTTATGGAACAAAATTTACCAGTGTAAATATTTATTTCATATTAAAACAAAATAAACAATAGATTTGTTTTTTAGTCTCGTTGTTGGCGGTGGTGGTTATACAGTTAAAAATGTAGCACGTTGTTGGACATATGAAACATCATTAATACTTAATGAACAACTTTCAAATGATATACCATTTCATGGTATGAAAATATTTAAAAGAAAAAAAAGTTTATTTTTTTTTTTTTTTAAGATTATATTGAATTTTTTGCGCCTGATTGTCAATTACATCCCAATTTATTTAATCCAAAAATAGAAAATGGAAATTCTCGACAAGTATAAAAATTTGTATTTTTTTTTTGTTGAAATTTTCATTTTGCTTTTTATATTTTAGTATTTAGAATTAATTGTTCAATTTGTTAATGAAAAATTACGTTTACTTGCTCATGCACCATCTGTTCAAATGCATGATGTACCACCTGATCTATTAGATACAGATAATCATATTGGAGGAAGACCGACACGACGGTATGAAATAAAAGATCTTTATTATATTATTTTCTTTTGAAAATTTTTATGTGTTTAATTTTAGTGCTGATGCATCAAATGAATTTTATGATGATGATAATGATGTTGATCGAACTGATTAAATCTACTTAAATGTATCTTCATTTCGTTTTTTTTTGTTTTTCTTTTTTGGTTTACTGTGATGTATTGGCTAAGTGTTCAGATAGATATGAGAAAAAGAAAAATATTATATTGTTTTGTCTTATCTTAAATATATGTTGTTATTATTAATCGTGTCGTTTTTCTTTTGGTTCTTTATTCTAGATAAAAATTTTCTTTTTTTACCTTTTCTTTAGAAACAATTTTACTTCGAGGTTTGATGCATTTACAATTCTTCTTTATTAATGAAAAATATATTTCGATAGAGTTATAATAAATACTAAATGAACTTTTATTAAAAGAGATTATATGATTTGAAGTATTATGACAAAAGACATAATCAATATGAATAGACAGATCACGCGAGAATCTCGAGGATAATTCATCATAGAGGTGCAGTTGACGACAAACGTCTAAGGAACGTTTGTCTCATTTAATTTTGCTTGCACATAAAAATCTACGTAGCTAGTTTTCAAGTGGTGATATAGATAGAACGAGAGACTGATTACATGATTCAGTATAGGACGAAACTTCATTTATTTATATAGATTTTTTCATATTAAAATAATTTTTTTTTTTGGAAACGAAAATAAATTTCAGTACTTTACAGTATTTCTAATGAAGAGATTTGTGCTACAATAAAAACCAAAAAAATTTGCTAGTCACTAGAGAATTTCACGTGCGATCTTCTTCTCAAACACCTGATTTTAGCAAGAATATCCACAAAAAAAACGGATTTTTTGTTTTTTCGTCAAGAGAAAGAGAAGTTAGTCGTGTTTTTCAAAACTTTTTTCAATTTATCTCTAATAGCTTTCGTTAGAAATATTGGAAATAATTATTTTAGTATAGAGTCTATATAAATCGATCAGTTCCTTCCTGTACTGTATCATGTAGTCGGATGAGATAAAATCGCTTAAACTTTTTTCGTGTACATACCCTGGTTTCGCGATCTTTGGATCGATATATTCGAAAATTTTTATGAATATTAGAAATATTATATAGAGTTAAAAAGAAAGATTTGTGTTCTATGCTAAACTTGCCACAGATGCTGAAAGCAAAATATGACTTCGTAATATGATTGAGAATTTTTTTGCTTTATAAATATAAGATGTCGGAAATATTAATTTAATTACTTCATCATCTGGGACAAAAGAAGCCTATATAGAATCATTTTACATAAGATGAGCGTGATGATGAATATGCATTGAGAAGAGAAATTTGCAATTCGAATATGAGAATAATGAAGAATGAACCTGAAAGATTAATCTATGTCAAGTATTATTAAGTAAAATATAATTAAACATTTCCAATGTGAATTGATTTCATCTGAGATTCATCATATAAATATATCTTATATGAATACGATACGAAGAAATCTTATACATTAAAAATTTTTTTTTTTCTATCGTAAATAATTTTTTTTTTTTTTTTTATTATTATTCTAGAATGATCATATCGATGTATTTATCATTTATCAAGTACGTACTTGCACTTTTTTTTGTTTTTCTACACTTTTAATATTTTAGACAATTATTGATTTGTTATTTTAATTAGAAAGAAAAATAATAGTAATAGTTCTTAGATTAGAAAATCTTATATAAAGTAATTCTTATTATGAAGTATACTTAAAAATCGTAGTTGAAAAATCATCATGCCTATATATTGTCTATCTATCATACTATGATAAAATATCAATCTGTTTTTTATCGGCAAATAAATCTTTCAAATTTCCAGATCTCTCTCACTGATCAATATATTTCCTCAAGGGGTATGTGTAAATGTCAGGAAATTATTATTGCCTATTGACGTATCAAGAATAGGTCCATTGAAAAAAGGAACAATATAGCATACAATTATGATGAAAGAATAACTGATAACAAAAAGCAATGTCTGTCGTTCTTTACCAAAAGATATTTCCGCGAGAAAGAACAAAATATTCAATAAATGATGTGTCATCAATGTAGTAAGTAAAAATAAAAAGCAATATTTTGATTAATTTTTTAAGCATAAGGAATTAATAGAAGATTAGGACGGTCGTAAAAAAAAACTAATAGAAGTTTATCAATGCTTTCATTCCAAAAGACAAAAAAAAATCAATATTAAATTGTTTTAATTAATAGATATTTCGAAAGAAAAAAAACCACAAAAACAATCTTCTATAAAATATGTTATTATTTTCATATTTGAAATAACACTCTTATTGATAAAAGATTTTCGTCACTAAAAACCTTCATGAATAATTCAATTACAAGTCGACTATAGCCTTTTTTTTTACGAATACTCAAGTATTTATTTGAGTTGAAACTGTTTATTGTTTTCTTTAAAATTATGCTTGAGATTGAGTATAAAACGATGAAATTTAGAAGAATATTTACTACTCTATCCCATCACTTATACACTTATATATAAACCAATAGTATAATATATTTATAATTTATAGAAGAAGAAAAAAACACATGTATATTCATGATAGATATTTGATTAGAACGTTAAAAAAGACAACAGTTTAAATTACTATTTGATTATTTGAAAGTAGATTAACTAGTTATTAAAAACCAACTGAGAATAATACATAAGTAATTGTTTTAATATTTATTTTGATTTAAACGTATAATTCTATTATTTTATTGGTAAGTATGATTTAAAAAAAAAAAGCTTTCTTCTTTGCTTTAAAAAATAGTCTCCTTAAAAAAAAGAAGAAAGAAATAAGGTTTTTTGTTTTACAAGAATAAAGAAAACGACGAAGAAAAAAAAATAAATTTCTTTTTTTCTGTTATTCTTTTTTTTTGTGTTTTCATTTATAGGAAACTACATATTCTATTCATTGTGAGTTGTTTATGATAGAATCACAATGAATTAAAACCAATCGTTCTTTTCAAAGTGCACATGCATCAGATAATTGGTTATCGATCTTCATGTTTCAAAATAGACGTACTGTCTTTCTATTTGTTTGTTCAATTGTTTTTGTTCAAGCACTTTATTATATTGTTACATTACAAATTAAAAAAAGTCAACCACCTATTATAAAAACTGCATCTATATTAATACCAACGTCATTTTATAATCAATCGTCAGATATCCATTTACCCTCCGTTCAAAAAACGCAAACAAATCTAAACACTTCAAATTCAACAGAAGTAAGTCTATTGCAATTAGGATAGAATTTTTCAAGTAACTGAAAAATTTATTAATACAAACTTTTATTTTGCTTATGGAATTATTTATAAAACATAAAAAATAGACTTATTGAATTTAAATAACATAATAATCAATTTTTATTAATTGTTTACTTTTAGACTAACCATATTCTTAGTTTCAAATCAACAAATACATCACATAATTTCACAATAAATAATGCAAATCGCAATATAACACTTAATCTTACAACCACTACTTCTACAACTAAAATTCAAACAACAACAACAACAACAACAACTGTGCCAACAATATTAATCCCATTTTTAAATGCATCACTTTATCCATATTTTAATTTTACTAAACCATCTTTAGATATTTATAATTCTCTACCGATTTGCAATTTTTCTAAATCAAATAATGATACATCAATATATAAAGTAGCTATAAGTCAAACACTTTATTCATATGATATTATTGAAGAACATCATGGAAAAAATTTAAATCCAGGTGGTCATTATATTCCAAAAGAATGTCGAACAGAACAACGTTTAGCTCTTATTATATGTTATCGAAATCGTGAACAACATTTAAAAATGTTTCTTGATAATATTCATCCATTTTTAAAAAGACAAAAACTTGATTATACTATATTTATTGTTAATCAAAATGGAAATGATCAATTTAATCGTGCTGCTTTATTTAATGTTGGTTATTTAGAAGCTATGAAATTATATTCATATGATTGTTTTATTTTTCATGATGTTGATCTTTTACCTGAAGATTTAAGAAATATTTATAAATGTGGCGATCAACCAAGACATATGTATGTCTTTTTGAGAAATATATTTTTAATTATTCACATAAGTTGACAACTTATTCATCCTAAATTATTTTTATTTCTACATCGTCAAGCATAATAAATCTTATTTCATTACATTGAATAGGTTTTTTTTATTTTATTCAATCTCATTTATACAAATCTACGAAGGTCTATTGATTCATATTTTCGCATTAATATGGCATAGCCAACATTGCAGAATCAATAATGATTACAATCTTTTGATTAGACTATTATTAGTTTGCATCTTATTCGGCTAATCTGATTTCTAAAACATTCCATATTCAATCTATATTAGAGATGTGCGCAACTACAAGAAAGAAAAATTCTCCTAACCGAAACTAAATCTTATATTTCAATATTCTATAGTTATAAATAAATTATCTTATAAATAAAAGCATAATTCAAGAGAGACGACTCAACAGAAGTGCTAGTCATCAAATGAATAAATAAGAAAACAAACAATGAGTATTAAGAAATTCTAAAATGCTTTTCTCTAGATAAAAATCAAATTAAATTTACCGAAGCTATAACCAACGTCACTAGAAGAATAGTTACTGGGACCGAGAGTATTAGAAAAGAATTCACCGGAACCACTAGAAAAGACACTATTGGGACCGGAACCATTAGAAAAGAAGTTATCGAACCGGGAACTAAAAAAACTTGATGTCGCACATCTCTAATTTTACCATAAATGAAATCTAGCTGCCTTTCTTCTGTCTTATTTTTTTTTAGAAACTTGTAGCGGCATCTCCTTCTTAAACTTGCCAGTTAATTACGCAAGCTATATTTAACAATGTTGATGTTAAACTTTTTCTAAATCTTTCAACTTTTCTTTTTTTTCATGCTCATTTTCTTTGAAGATTTTTCTAGATAACATCAAATTTATTCTTTTGAAATTATTTTTTTTTTTATTTTTTTTTTAAAGGTCTGTAGCGGTTGATAAATTTAATTATAAATTATTATATTCAACATTATTTGGTGGTGTAACAGCATTTCATTTAACAGATTTTGTTGGTACACATGGTTATCCAACAGTTTATTGGGGATGGGGTGGTGAAGATGATGATATGTATTTACGTGTTGTTAAAAAATTAAACAAATCAATAACACGTTATCCAATGGAAATAGCTCGTTATAAAATGATTCGTACACATGATCATACATCAGGTAAAGCCAATCCACATCGTCATACAATATTATATTCAAAATATGATTATAATCTTGATGGTATAAATACAACAAATTATACATTACATAATATAGTTTTTTATAAATTATTTACATTAATTAATGTAACATTAACTGAAGAACCATTCGAACATATTCGTACACGTTTGCGTATAAAAAAGAAAAAATAATGCAATAGTTTTACTTTTTTTGAGAATAAATTTATCTCATTATATTATCTGTGATGATACGAATAACAATGGATTGATTAGTTTTTGTTTTCTAGCTAATTGTTATAAGAGAGAGAAAAAATAATATAAAATCAAAATATAAGGATGAATCGTTTAGTCATTGTGTGTTTTTATGAATAAATGAACTTTGTGGCTTTCTTTTTTTTTTTTTTTTTGCTTGTTTCTTTTTATATACATTTCTTCTTTATTTGTTATATATATTTACTCGATGATAAATACAAGAAAAAAATAATAATAATGTCAATATTAAAAAATAAATCAAATTTTAGTATTTTATAGATAAATATTCATCATGTCGTATATGTTACCACATTTACATAATGGCTGGCAAGTTGATCAAGCCATTCTATCGGAAGAAGATAAAGTTGTTGTTATTCGTTTTGGACATGATTGGGATCCAACATGTATGAAAATGGATGAAGTTTTATATAAAGTTGCAGAAAAAATTAAAAATTTTACTGTTATTTATTTGGTTGATATTACTGAAACACCTGATTTTAATAAAATGTAAGTTTTAAATATATTATTAGAAGTAGTTTTATTTATTATAATTTAAATTAGTATCTTCAGAATATAGTGAATTAGATCATTGGACTATATCAATATTCTTATTTGATTGGGCAAAAATAAAAATAGAAATCGAACGAAAGGAATCTCATATGAGCGGGTAGGTTCGAACTAAGAGAAAACAATTTCTAGTCTATTTTCGAAGATGAAATACTAGAGTATCTACAATATACGAATAGAAGAACAAAAGAAAATTATTAATTTCGAATTATTCTTGAGATAATCTCGCACGGAAATCTTTCCAAATATTAAATCACTTTTCGATCGAAGCGACATTCATTTGATGAATAATAGGAAAATCAAAAATGATTTGATTTTTCGAATCTTCGTTGTTGAGGTATCGAAATTTTATTGGGTTAGGCATGATTTTCTTCAGATCACGTGAAACATCAATTTTCGACTTCAAACTTTGCAAGAACAAAGTTTTCAATGCGATTTTTTCATTAAGTTCGAACTTTTTTAAGGATCTTCTATATTCAATATTCGCAGTTTTCTTGTATATCTTAACACTTCTAGAAAGGAAGTACTAGTTACACAATCAACTAATTTCATTTAAAACTTTGTTCGTGCTAAATTCAAATTTGAAAGTCGATTTTTTATGTGATCTGAAGTGGATTATGAAAATCGATTTGACATCTGAAGAGATTATCTCGTCAGTACTAACGAGGGAATCTTTTCAGATGACACCCTCCGTTTTGATTCGTTCGTATCTCATTTAATTGAGTATATTGATGTAGTAAAAATTCTAAAGAGATTTTTCCCCAATGTTCTTCCTTCAAAA